AACTCTCAATTGGTTTTATTAAAATTTAAAGGTTTTTAAGTGGTACTCAAAACTATCCTAACAAAGGGTGTTTCAAGTGAGCACGAGGATATAGTAGTTAGAGGCTGCTTTGATTTGTTTGGATAGTAGGTATACTAACGTGGCTAAGATTATAATAATATAAGATTATATTGTAGGCCTTGGACAACTCTTGAATTAAGTGAGCCCAATTAGCAAGAACGATTGTTATTTTGAAAGAAGGGTAACTAAGTGTTTTTTTGGGTAATATTTAGTGAATAATTTTTTTCAGGCCCATATCAATCACATTTGTGTCATAAACTAAGGATAATGACTTAAAATGGTAATATATTTTTCGATTTATACACATTTGGTCACTGAGTTTTTTTTCGTCCACATTTACCCTTCAACTTGTTAAACCGTATACATTCAGTCCTTATGACCGCCTACTCCAGGTTACCCGGTAAAAATGACTTAATAGGGTAATATATTTCTCACTTTGTACACATTTAGTCCTTAATATTTTTGTACACATTTAGTCCTTTTTTTTTTTTTTTTGCAAATTAAGTCATTTTTTTTGTACTCATTCAGTACTTATGAATGATTTTTTAGTTTTTTCTCACGAAATCTTACGTAGGACATTCATTAATGAGGTGTATGAGGCTTTTGATGCTTATATCCATCGCGATCTCGACTACTTGGTTGCTTAGGTCATGTGTTCTGAACGTCATAACTTCTTCATATGATCTCAGATTTTAACGATTTTTATATCCATGCGTTCGTATTTTAGTCTACTACAACTTTCATTTAGATTACTCCCATTAAAAAATAATATATTTTTACTTACCATTTTTATATTCATACCCGGTGGCGGATTTAGTATGGTCGCGATGTTGCACCGACAACACCTGTTTTTTCTGTTCGCAGTGGAAAAAATTTCGCTTTATTTTTTTACGCTATACCGATTTTCCATGTATCGGCAACACCTATTTCATCTCGACAACACCTACTATGTATTACTGCGTCTTCCCCTGTCCCCATACGTTTTTTATGAATGCATGTATGTAATGTTTTTTTATAAAATCGTTAGTAAAAATATATTAAATTTTAACGGGGGTAATCTTAATGAAAGTTGTAGTAGACTCAAAAAATGAACAATGTGGATAAAGATCCTTAAAATATGATATCATATGAAGAAGTTACGATGTTCAAAATACAAGACCTAAGCCAAACCACAAGACTTACGCAACCAAGCAGTCGAGATCGCATTGGACATAAGCATCAACAACCCCAAGCACCTCATCAATGATTGTCTCACGTAAGATGTCGTGAAAAAAACCTAAAGAATCATTCATAAGTACTGAATGAGTACAAAAAAGGATTTATTTTGAAACAAAAAAAATTTAAGGACTAAATATGTACAAAAATATTAAGGACTAAATGTGTACAAAATGAAATATATTACCCTATCAAGTCATTTTTCCCGGCTAACCTGGAGTAACAGGTCATAAGGACTGAATGTGTACAGTTTAAACAAGTTTAGGGGTAAATGTGGACGAAAAAAAACTCAGTGACCAAATGTGTACAAATCGAATAATATGTTACCATTTTAAGTCATTATCCCCATAAACTATTAACCTTGACTATTGCAATTTGTGTCCACGAAATGCGAAATGAGAGCCGAGTGGTTGAAGAGTGAAACTTCACACAAAAGGTTCAATATTCGATACATCCAAAATATTTCTAGTGTTCCACGATTGACCTCCAACATAAGTTTGGGGATAGTTGATGTGGGTCATTTAGATGATATGATTTAATAAATAAAAAAAAATGTATACTGCATCCTCTGAACTATCCACGGGTTCCCATATAAGAGATCAATGATAGACACTAATAATATTTTAGATGTTAAAGTTTGAACCTAGACTTTTTATATGTAATTCCACTTCTTAACTGCTAGCCTCTTGTCTCATATCACGAGGACATTATACAATAAAATAACCACCAAAATGCATTATTTGTTGTGTAAAATATTTTTTAAACTTTTTCCTATTTACACATTTTATTTTTGGAAAATCGGTCTCAAACTAACATTTTATATTCAAGCCACGAAGCTTATTTTGCTTCGAAAATGGTTTTAAATATCACTATAAAAAAAAAAAAAAAAAAAAAAAAAAAACTTAAAAATTGTTTTTCATAAGAAATTATAATTTTTGTAGTAATATGAAAATTACGAAGATCAATTTCTTAATTAAAAGTACAATTTTACGAGAAGAAATTATAACCGACGGTTGTCACGACAAAAGCCAACACCCCTTCCCTTTTTCAATTTTCACCCTCGAAATCCAGGCCACAAATGGTCGCATGCACAGTTAATTTCGCTTCAGAAACTACTCCTACGTACTGTTAGTTACGTTTTATATATGATCATATTCATACATATATGCTTTCCAATTTCACAGTTTATGAAGATCGATTTTGTGTATGAATGAATGGATTACTGTTTGAATCTTGTCTTGAAATAAAACAAACACTTGGCGTGCTTACACATTTTAATTTCCTTCTTTCCGGACCACAAATTCTTCATTCGTTTCTGAACTGTACTTTGTCATTTTCCCTGTTTATTTCTTCAAATCCTGAAGTAAACACCGAAAAATTGTTCACAGGTTGAAGCATCTGATTGTGATGTGTGTATTCAAAGGAAAGCAAGTATCCCCATAAAACTGAAACGGAACGACTATATGAGACCCCATAAGCAATCTTCGAAAGCAAGTAATAAATCAAAAACATATTTCAAATCTTTTACAACTGCGGATAAATATCATCATCTGGAATGGACAAATCAGATCACAGAATCTCCAGTTTATCATCCTTCGGTGGAGGATTTCAAGGATCCATTCCAGTATCTTCAAAAAATTGCACCACAAGCATCAAAATATGGTTAGCATACATGCATCATTTTAACCAATCTATTCACTGTTTTCACCACTCCTAATTTACTTGTATTATTCTGTCCATAGGAGTATGCAAGATTGTTCCTCCTATAACTTCAACTACTCCAACTGGTGTTATAATGATGAAGGAAAAACCAGGTTTCAGATTCACACCAAAAGTCCAGCCCCTTGGTGTTGCTAAATGGACTACAAATAATGACAACAACACATTCTTCATTAGCACAAAGTAGACAATATTATATTTTCTTTTCATCCTTGTGTTGCTACCATTTTTTGATATGACATTATTGTTTGTTTCAGAAGCTACAGTCTTCGTGATTTTGAGGTCATGGCAAACAGGGCAATTGCTAATAAATACTGTTTATCTGGATGTCTTCCATCTGCATACTTGGAAAAGGAATTTTGGCATGCAATGACACGTGGCAACAAGGGAACAGTTGAATATGGAGTCAATGTAGATGGCTCTGCATTCTCATCTTCCTCTAATGACCATCTTGCAAATACCAAATGGAACTTGAAGGTCTCACACTTATCCTTCATCTCTTTTCTTTCAACACTTTCATATAAATATATGATCATATCAATAGCAATAGCATTTTTGATGTGTTTTACTTATCTTTTGGTTTCAGAAACTTCCAAGATTGCCAAAATCAGCACTTCATTGGATCAAAAACAGTGTTCCAGTAATCTGATACTCTTCTTTATATGTGAAACTTTTCGTTTATTATAACCAAATCTTTATGTTTTCCATATGGTTTCAGGGATTAACTGATCCGATGCTGTACATTGGAATGCTTTTCAGTATGTTTGCATGGCATGTAGAAGATCACTATTTGTATAGGTAGGCAAGATATAAACGTAAATTTCTGCATTGTAGATAAGATTTGAATGGATGTTTTCTTGTTTCAGTATAAATTATCATCACTGTGGTGCACCAAAAACATGGTATGGAGTTCCTGGTAGTGCTGCTCATGAGTTTGAAGAAGCTATCCAGCATCATGTTTACAGTAAACAAATTTTATCAAAAAATGGAGCTTTCGAATTGCTTGCAGAAAAAACAACTATGTTTCCTCCAAACATACTTTTACAGAATCATGTCCCGGTTTATAAACTCGTTCAATTACCCGGTGAATTTGTCGTCACTTTTCCTAGAGCATATCATGCGGGTTTCAGTCATGGTATATCAAGAAATTTATATACATTTCCAAATCACATTCAATCATTATATGAATTTAAGTTTTTATACAGGATTCAATTGTGGGGAGGCTGTAAATTTTGCAGCTAATGATTGGTTTCCATTTGGTGAAGCTGCTAATGAGAGATACACACTTCTTAAAAAGCAGCCTGTGATTCCTTATGAAGAAATTCTATGCAAAGAAGCTATGCATCTTTTTCTTTCCTCTAAAAAAGATGATAACTGTTTTGTGAAGGTCTCATTTGCATCTATGATACGAAAGTACGATAATGCCCTTACGAGGTTGAAGTCATTGAATAAATCTATACGTATCTTTTCAAATCTCAAAGAAACCGTTAGCTGTGGCCTCTGTAAACGGGATTGTTACGTGGCTCATGTCAACTGTAAATGTCATTTTCATAACATATGTGTTTTTCATGGTAAACTAAACCCTTGCTATTTTCTTTTTAGCCAAATTGATGTGTGATAATATTAATAAAAATACATTATGTTATTATACAGATAAAGAACTCTCTAAATGCTCTTGTGGGAGCAACCGTTTTCTTTTTGTGAGACCGGATCTACTCAAAATGAAAGAAGTAGCAAAAAAGTTTGAAGAACAACAACCGATCAAGAAATTTGGGAAACAGAAGAACAATTCTAAAGCTGATGTGGCAACATCTGTAAATAGGACAGGGACTAGGGGTAAACTGGGAATTTCATCCATGTCGAATAAGCGTACGAGGTCAAGTTGTAGGCTAAAGGAAATCAAGAAATGTAAAAAGAGAGCTTCTCAATGCCACCTTTGTGCCAAAATTGTCCATTAACAGACATATCAAGTGTAATTTTCAAAAGATTACTGCAACCTAGAATTTTTTTACAGTGGTTGCAAACTGGATTTAAGTAAATATGTTTCTAATAGCTATTCATATGATCATATCACACAACGATAGGTAACATAAGAACCAGTTATGTTGCTGTTGTAAGTGATTTTGACAACTTGCTTCTTCTCAAGTCCATAGTACCTTGCAATAGCATCATCCACCCACATATATGGAATCTAATTAGATAAAAAAAATTGTTAGAATAAAGATTGGCTTATTCAAATCATGGATATACCAAATATCACCAGAATTCTGGATTAATATGTGACTTTATGAAGCAGAATCAGGAAGAATTTGAAGAGAATAATATTTTTACCTGAGTGTCAGCAAGTTCATACTTCTTAAGCATCTGCTCCTTCTGTTCTGCAGTCAAGATTTCATGCTTTGGTGCAGCAACATGTTTGGTAATGTTCACAAACAGTTCAGTGATCTAAATTAGGATCAATGAATCAGAATTGAAAACAAGAAGATTAATAAAAATGTAGAAATTCAACTTGATTTGAGTTGAATTAGTAGAGATATCTGGTATCTTACTGGGAAAAGTTCCACTTTGACTTCGCATTCATTGAACAGTGCACGAGCATGAATGTTCATCTTGCCCTGCAAAACTAAGATAATCCGGAGCAAGGTATCCTTGTTGGTAATGTTAAGCAACATGTGCTTCGCTGTTGCATTGTTTATATCCCCAGGACCACAGAAAATAACCAAAATCTGGAAAAATAAACAAAATGAACTCAGATTCAAGCTAAAATCATGGTAGGAAACTATAAGTAGTTTTTTTCCCTTTCCAAAAGGTGCTTAAACTGTTGTATCGCAACTAAAATGATCGTAAAATCACTGGTATGAACATGATGTCAACAAGTATTACGAAATTGAACAAACAACGCTAATTATCAGAAGCTTAGGGAAGATGTTTAAACAGAAAATGAAAGAAAATAGAACAACGCTAGGATATGTATGCGTTTAATCTTAAATAGTACCAAATTTACAGAGTAAGAACACAAACCCTAACAATACGGTTACCTTTTTGGAAGGTTTGGAAGAGAGAGGGACGCAGATACGCAGGTGATCAGGATCAGGGTCGTCTCCAAACACCAAGCGGAACTCGGAGAGAGAGCGAGTGAGCTCGTAGTCGGCGATGACGCATCCTCTGTCTCTTAACATTTCCAAAACAGTTCGCCGTGCAAGGTAGTAACGGTGGCTCTCCACCGCGCCGGTATCGGCCTTGTCGATAATGCAGGTGTTTCCATTGCCTTCAGTCGGAGCCACGTAACCAAGTCCAGCTGTGCTACAGCGGGACGCCATTTTTTCTGGTGAAAATGGGGGCTGAATGATATCAGTCGCTGTGTGTGAAGTGTGAGGGAGACTGAGGGAGACGAAAGGTGTTTATGATGATTAGAAATGGAGGACGTACGGAAAGAAAAAGAGAATCAAAATGGGGATTGGCAAAGAAATTTAAAATCAATTTCGGTATGGTATTTTTTTCTATACTTCAATCTAATCTAATCAGTTTTGACATTGAAAAAAATATTTACTATGTACTTTAATAAATATATAAGACCCGTGCATTAAATGTATTATATGCGTTAATTAAAAAAATTAAATATAAAGGTCTAAATATTTAAAAACTTTAGATTTATAAGAAAATAATAAAAATAATGAATTATTAAAATTAATTTTTTTATCTTTTAAATTTAAAGAAATAAACAAAATAAACTAATGAGCTTTAATTTGAGAATTTTACAATAAAAAAATAAGTTCATTAATAAAATTGATATTCATTTATTATTACATTTATTTAATTATTATATTAAAGTATTATGTGGAATTTATTAAAATAGATAAACCTATAAAATGAGATTTGGAAAAGAAATTAATTCAAAATAACCACAAAATGACATTTTGCAAATTGAATGAGAGTATGACATGTGACAAAAAAATCTTCATTTATTAGAGTAAGATTTATTATATTAGTTTTTTTTTTTACTTTTCAATTTTTCTTAATATTTTTTTTATTTTAATTATCCGATTTTTCTCCCTTTTTTTTTATTTCACCTTTTTATTGTTTACTTTTTTTAAATAACAGTTTTTATTTTAGACTTTCACTTTTTTTACTGTTTTTTTTAAATAACGGTTTTTTTATCATTTTTATTTCTGTTTTTTTATTTTAAATATCCGTTTTTCTTATACAAACCATTGACCATCATATTTTAGCAATCATAAATTAAGCATGCAATATATTTTAAAGTGTAAAAACTCAATTATTACACATAATGTTTTTGGTAATCAAACATAAAATCTTAACTTTGTATCTTTAGTACCCGAGAAAAGAAAAATGTAAAGATGATTAGGTTTGATATTTACGTGCAAAAACTCAAATATTACATAAACTTTGATATATTCAAAATACATTAAAATGGTAAATATTTTTTCAATCACCCTATTATGGTCAAAAACTTCTTATTTCATGAGTCAATTATATAAAAAAACAAAAATTCCATTTATAATTTTATATATTGGAAACTATTTTACAATTAAATTGATTCATGTGATAAGTTCGGAATAGAGATGCAAACGGGGGCGGATATTGTCGGATACTACAATACCCGTCCCCACACCCGAACTCCGACCCCAACACCCTCCCCCGCCCCCGACCCACCAAATCCCCGACGGATTCGGGTAAAAAAACCCGTCGGATACGGGGAACCCGGTGGATATCCGTTAAGTAAAAAAGACCCAATAATTTTTTTAATAAATCTGAGATATATATAAAAAAGACTTAGTAATAATCATGATAACTAAAGCATTGAACAATTCATACTTCATTCTCATACACAAAATAGTAAAAAAAAAAAAAAAAAAGAAGAGAAGCACGACATCCTCATGTTTGTTAAATAACTAAAATAAAAACAAACAATTTTTCATGAACTAAATATCAAAATCCACAAAGTTTGGACCGACTTCGTCATCTTTTATAACTTCAAACTTTGCAAGATGTTTTTCCTTATTGGAATGTGCACCTAGCAATAAAAATAAAAAAAATATAAGTATCATTACAAATTATTTTATGTTAAAGACAATTTAAAATAAAATATAAAAAGGTTAGAATATAGAAAATCATACCTAATTTCTCATCCCATAACCAATCTTGTACACAAATCAATGCTTTTAATATATCCGGATGAAGTCTATTACGATGACGAGTGACATGTCTTCCACCGGTACTAAAGGATGATTCGGAAGCAACTGTAGACACCAGTATAGCCAAAACATCTTTAACAACTCGTTGCAAAGTAGGATATTTCGGACCATTAGCCTTCCACCATGCTAAAATATCAAAATCTCCGGTCCTTGGCAAAACATTCTCCTCTAAATAATAATCTAACTCAGATTTGTAAGTATCAACAGTTGATGTGGTACTCACGAATAAATCGAAACCAGCCAAAGGATCTCCATCATCGATATCCATGCCAAAATCAGAATTATTGAAAGAAGATTGGGTTTCTTTGGCATCATATGGCTTGTATTCTCTTACCAATTCGTATGTTAACTTCCTAATTCTCTCAACTTCTTGTGGGGAATCATCACCATAAATTTTAGGGAAATAATACTCAATCAACTTCATTTTGAATCGTGGGTCCAAAATAGTGGTTATTGCTAATACTCCATGTATGAGAGACCAATATTGGTCAAACTTCCCAATCATATTAGTAGTCATTGCCTTGATCTCCACATAAGGTGATATAAGACACTCTTGAAGCAACATTCGGATCTCACAAATCCTTGGAAAAAAAAAGATTAGCAGTTGGATATTTGACCCCTGAAAACATTTCAGTCACACTATAAAATAGTTTGAGCTTCTCACACATCACTTTTGCTAAATTCCAATCTTGATCACTAGTGCTTGCTTGTAGCTTTTGTCTTTGTGTACAAGGCGATTGAAGACTTCCTTATATGGAATTGCACTCATGTATTGCCGCATTAACCTGTCCATTTGTTGCTCCAATCCCATTTTTAGGGTCAAAGTAACTCTGTCAGAGAACGGGCTTTAGTCTGAAATAACTCTGTCAGGGAACAACCCTAAGGGAGGTGAGCGGTCATTTCTGGTTTGCTAAACCTTCTTTGGACCGTTATGAGCGTTTCTCGTTCCCTTCTCAACTTTTTTCTTAGATTAGACGTGGGAGATCCTGGTGTCTTGTGTACACCAGTTACATTTTTGTGTGCTTATCTTGCTTAATTGGAATCTCTGATTCACTATCTGTTCTTACTGTCTTGATTCTTGATTTTATGTTGGGTGTCTTGGGCAAGTGGTGACCATTTGGACATCAATATAGTGTGTGCTTGTCATTGATTCTTTGATTCTTTGAGTTTTATATGTTTTTTAATTTCTTTGAGTCTTATTTGTGGTTTATAGTTTGTTCCTGTTTCTATGGATGGTTCTAATGATCCTCCAGGAGGAAGTGGAAAGGATGATGCAATTAATTTTGATGATCCTCTCTACGTCCATCCTTCAGATAATGCTACTACAACTATTGTTACTGTTAAACTAGCTGGTAATGAAAATTTTCGTATATGGAGAAGTTCTATGTCTAGGGCCCTTAAAGCTAGAAACAAATTAGGGTTTGTTGATGGTACTTTTAAAAAGGACTATGTTGAAACTAACAAAGTTTCTAAATGGGAAAGGGCTAACGTCATAGTTTGTTCCTGGCTGTTATCCTCTATTAGTGATTCTATATATGCCAGTCATGCATATTCTGATAATGCTCAAGAAATTTGGGACAATTTATTTGAAACATATAATAAAAGCAGATGGGTCAGTTGTTTTTAATGTACATCAACGAATTAACTCTTTAAAACAAAGTGGTATTTATGTTTCTGATTACTTTAATAAGCTGGATGCTCTATGGAAAGAATTTGATGGTTTGACCAGTCTCACAAAATGTACTTGTGAGGCTACTATTAAACTAAATGATCATGCTAAATTGATGAAACTCATGCAATTTGTTAGTGGTCTGGATGAGTCATATAACCAGTTTAAGGAGTCATATACTACTTATGGATCCTCTTCCTAATGTTAAAACTGCTTTTTCTATAATATCTCGTGAAGAATCTCTTCAAAGAAATGGATCTTTGTCTAATGACTCTCAACCTGTTTCCAAGAGTCAACCTAGTGCTTTTAATAGTAAATTTAATAATAAGTTTTCTTCTGGTAATACTGGTAATAAAAGCAAGGGTCAGGTCGTACAGTGTAAGAATTATGGATTAAAGGGACATACTATTGAAAATTGTTATAAACTAATAGGATATCGCAAAGATTTTAAACCTAGGAGTGAAGTAAATCAAAACAGTCAAATAAAAAACTTCAACGTAAACTCATCTGTTATTGCTTCTAGATCATCTGAATCTGGAGAGTCTGAGTTTCATCTGTTGGATAAGGTGTCTAAGTCCATAACTATTTCTGGTATGTACTTGACCCGACCCGACATGGTCCATTTGGGTTGCATGGCACCATGCAATTGGATAAACTAAAATGAGAGAAATAACACTTATGGTTTATTAATATATTATAGTTCTAATATATTAATAATATTATTTAATTAGTTTGATCAAGAATTAATTTAGAATTAATTAAGTGATCAAAAGATAACTAATTAAATATATGGGTAGATTATGTAAATCTTCCATATCTTATATAGTGGGCTAAGAGGCTCCATGGATTATCAAGTTGGGTTCCACCCATAGGATGCTCCATGGATGCTCCATGGGAGTTACAAACCCATGGGTCATGGAAATGAAGAGTCATGACACATTAGGGTTTACATGGTGTAACCCTAGATGTGTCAACACTATATAAGAAACTCATTCTCCACCAAAATTGGTTACACATAAGAAACAAGAGGGCTAGGCCGATTTTAGAAGTGTGTATTCTCTCTAAAGTCATTCCAAAAGCATTTGGTGTTGTGTGAAGCATTTGAGGCATCACACTTGGGGTGCTAGGCTCACAAGGTTTCAAGGATCATAAGCAACAACAAGGTAAGTTATTCTATCTTTCATGCAAGTTAAAATTTGTTCCCCATGTATGCTAGATAGGAATATAACCTTGGAATTCAACTTTGCATGATTATTAGACAAACATAGATCCAAGGTTATTAGGGTTGCATGTACACTTAGGAAGTGTTAGAATGCTCAAAATCCATCAGTGGTATCAGAGAGCCTAGGTTTGTTTGTTGTTTTTTTTTTTTTGTGTAAACAGCTTGAAGAAAAAAAAATCGTTAAATTACAAGTTTTTTTTAAGTGTAATTTTTTATTCTTGAAAGTGTTCATATTCATGTTCTTGAACTTATGAAGATTACATGATCATAGGAATTGTTTGTAACCTTCATGGTAATTTAATTCATGATCATA